TCAATGTTGACTCACTGCTATCGTGTAACAAACTACTAGCTAGTTCGACATGGTAGTTTAGATCAATGGTGGCTCACTGCCATCGTGTTACAATCTACTATCTAGTTAGAGACTGTAGTTTAGATTAATGGTGGTTCACTTCTATCGTGTTACAATCTGCCAGCTTGTTGGACATGATAGTTTAGATCAATGGTGGCTCACTGCTATCGTGTTACAATATACTGGCTAGTTCGACATGATAGTTTAGATCAATGGTGGTTCACTTCTATCGCGTTACAATCTACTAGCTTGTTGGACATGATAGTTTAGATCAATGGTGGCTCACTGCTATCGTGTTACAATATACTGGCTAGTTGGACATGATAGTTTAGATCAATGGTGGCTCACTGCTATCGTGTTACAATCTGCCAGCTTGTTGGACATGATAGTTTAGATCAATGGTGGCTCACTGCTATCGTGTTACAATATACTGGCTAGTTGGACATGATAGATTAGATCAATGGTGGTTCACTTCTATCGTGCCGCAATCTACTAGCTAGTTGGACATGATAGTTTAGATCAATGGTGGCTCACTGCTATCGTGTTACAATATACTGGCTAGTTGGACATGATAGTTTAGATCAATGGTGGCTTACTGCTATCTTGTTACAATCTACTATCTAGTTGGACATCATAGTTTAGATCAATGTTGACTCACTGCTATCGTGTTACAATCTTCTAGCTTGTAGGACATGATGGTTTAGATCAATGTTGACTCACTGCTATCGTGTAACAAACTACTAGCTAGTTCGACATGGTAGTTTAGATCAATGGTGGCTCACTGCCATCGTGTTACAATCTACTATCTAGTTAGAGACTGTAGTTTAGATTAATGGTGGTTCACTTCTATCGTGTTACAATCTGCCAGCTAGTTGAACATGATAGTTTAGATCAATGGTGGCTCACTGCTATCATGTTACAATCTATTAGCTTGTTGGACATGATAGTTTAGATCAATGGTGGCTCACTGTTATCGTGTTGCAATCTACTAGCTAGTTGAACAGGATAGTTTAGATCAATGGTGGCTCACTGCTATCGTGATCAATATACTGGCTAGTAGGACACAATAGTTTACATCAGTGGTGGCTCACTGCTATCGTATTACAATCTACTACCTAGTTGAACATGATAGTTTAGATAAATGGTGTCTCACTGCTGTCTTGTTACAATCTACTAGCTAGTTGAACATGATAGTTTAGATCAATGGTGGCTCACTGCTATCGTGTTACAATCTACTAGATTGTTTGGACAAAATAGTTTAGATCAATGGTGGTTCACTGCTATCGTGTCACAATCTACTAGCTTGTTGGACATGATAGTTAAGATCAATGGTGGCTCACTGTTATCGTGTTACAATCTACTAGCTTGTTGGACATGATAGTTTAGATCAATGGTGGCTCACTGCTATCGTGTCACAATCTACTAGCTAGTTGGACATGATAGTTTAGATCAATGGTGGCTCACTGCTATCGTGTCACAATCTACTAGCTAGTTTGACATGATACTTTAGATCAATGGTGTCTCACTGTTATCGTGTTACAATCTACTAGCTTGTTGGACGTGATAGTTTAAATCAATGGTGGTTCACTGCTATCCTGTTATAATCTACTAGCTTGTTGGACATGATAGTTTAGATCAATGGTGGTTCACTGCTATCGTGTTACAATCTACTAGCTAGTTGGACATGAAAGTTTAGATCAATGGTGGCTCACTGCTATCGTGTTACAATCTACTAGATTGTTTGGACAAAATAGTTTAGATCAATGGTGGTTCACTGCTATCGTGTCACAATCTACTAGCTATTTGGACATGATAGTTTAGATCAATGGTGGTTCACTGCTATCGTGTTACAATCTACTAGCTAGTTGGAAACGATAGATTAGATCAATGGTGGATCACTGCTATCGTGTTACATTCTCCTAGCTAGTAGGACATCATAGTTTAGATCAATGGTGGCTCACTGCTATCGTGTTACAATCTACTAGCTAGTTGGACATGATAGTTCAGATCAATGGTGGCTCAAAGCTATCGTGTTACAATCTACTAGCCAGTAGGACATGATAGTTTATATCAATATTGACTCACTGTTATCGTGTCACAATGTACTAGCTAGTAGGACATGATAGTTTAGATCAATGGTGGCTTACTGCTATCTTGTTACAATCTACTAGCTAGTTGGACATGATAGTTTAGATCAATGTTGACTCACTGTTATCGTGTTACAATCTACTAGCTAGTTGGACATGATAGTTTAGATCAATGGTGGCTTACTGCTATCTTGTTACAATCTACTAGCTAGTTGGACATGCTAGTTTAGATCAATGTTGACTCACTGTTATCGCGTTACAATCTACTAGCTAGTTGGACATGATAGTTTAGATCAATGGTGGCTTACTGCTATCTTGTTACAATCTACTATCTAGTTGGACATCATAGTTTAGATCAATGTTGACTCACTGCTATCGTGTTACAATCTTCTAGCTTGTAGGACATGATGGTTTTGATCAATGTTGACTCACTGCTATCGTGTAACAAACTACTAGCTAGTTCGACATGGTAGTTTAGATCAATGGTGGCTCACTTCCATCGTGTTACAATCTACTATCTAGTTAGAGACTGTAGTTTAGATTAATGGTGGTTCACTTCTATCGTGTTACAATCTGCCAGCTTGTTGGACATGATAGCTTAGATCAATGTTGGCTTAGTGCTGTCGTGTCACAGTCTACTAGCTAGTTGGACAAAATAGTTCAATAATGGTTAACTGCTATCGTGGCACAATCTACTAGCTAGTTTGATACTTTAGTGTTTTGGTATACCTAAACACTTTCAGCACTTTTCCTTAATAAATGAAACAATGGGCACGACTATCGGGCGTTCCACACCATCCTGTGATATACACCACACCTATAAGATGTTATAATATCTATATTCTATGAAACGATTTTAAAACTGATAACAAAACAATACACTTCTAAAATACCCCAAAACACCTCGAGTGATCTTATCAATTTAATTTGTAATTTTACATTTTTATTTGTCATTGATACTGCTTAGATTAGACACCCCATTATTGAGACTATTCATCTTGGTCTTCGATTAACGACTGTTTACCGAAGGGTGAAATCTGCTTGCAGGTTAGTTATTCAAGACCCCAGCTTAACCCTCATTTCTCTGCCACATCATCTCGATCTCCTTGCAACACACACACTCTTCAGGCTTTTCCAAATGTATACATGTACATGTACCACATTGCAACCTGAAATTATAAGATGGTATTTTAGACTAAACTAAACCTTTATTGTACACTAATTAACTCTACTACAATATAGAAAACACAATCCAGTCAGATGTCAGGTATGTTTTTGTTGGTTTTTGGTTTTCATATTTTAATATGATATACCAATTAACATTGGAGCAAATAGCTTCTTAAACTCTCTTGAACAGACATCAAATACACAAACCATCTACACCCTTACACCATCTACACCCTTACACCATCTACACCCTTACACCATCTACACCCTTACACCATCTACACCCTTACACCATCTACACCCTTACACCATCTACACCCTTACACTATCTATACCCTTACACCATCTACACCCTTACACCATCTACACCCTTACACCATCTACACCCTTACACCATCTATACCCTTACACCATCTACACCCTTACACCATCTACACCCTTACACCATCTACACCCTTACACCATCTACACACTTACACCATCTACATCCTTACACCATCTACACCCTTACACCATCTATCTAGTGTTGAATGTCTATCTAGTGTTGAATGTCTATCTAGTGTTGAATGTCTGTCTAGTGCTGAATATCTATCTAGTGCTGAATATCTATCTAGTGCTGAATATCTATCTAGTGTTGAATATCTATCTAGTGTTGAATGTCTATCTAGTGCTGAATATCTATCTAGTGTTGAATATCTGTCTAGTGCTGAATATCTATCTAGTGTTGAATATCTGTCTAGTATTGAATATCTATCTAGTATTGAATGTCTATCTAGTGTTGAATATCTATCTAGTGTTGAATATCTATCTAGTGTTGAATATCTATCTAGTGTTGAATATCTATCTAGTGTTGAATATCTATCTAGTGCTGAATATCTATCTAGTATTGAATATCTATCTAGTGCTGAATATCTATCTAGTATTGAATATCTATCTAGTGTTGAATATCTATCTAGTGTTGAATATTCTATTAAAATCGTCTATGCTAAGCACTGGCCAAGATCACAAATAAAGAGATCTGTTAGATTAGTTCGAACCCACGGCACCTAATCGTATAGCAGACCACAATCAAAATTAGGGTGGTGTTTACATAGCTAGTATTTAGTTTACAACCCCTTTCAGTTATGAACAACGGGTCTAAAATGAAAGGACGGTCAATTTAGTGTAAAATATAAACAAGAAAAATTTCAGCCAATTAAATAATCATAACATCAACACATAAACTCCGCTTGACTGGGTCGGGATTAAACAGGGATTAACTACACAAATACTGAGAATACTCAAAGAAAACACAAATACCAATATAAGTCATGGTAGGTGTGAAATACTCTGCCCTCACTCATGGTGCAGTGGGACATATTATACGGTGGGTGTTAAATAGCTGAAAAACTCTGCCGTCTGTCATGGTGCAGTGAGGCTTATCACACGGTAGGTGTAAAATGGCTGAAATACTCTGCCGTCACCCATGGTGTAGTGGGACTTATCACACGGTAGGTGTGAAATGGTTACAATAATATGCCGTCAATCAAGGTGTAGTGGGACTTATCACATGGTAGGTCTGAATTGGCTGAAATAGTCTGCCGTCAATCATGGTGCAGTGGGACGTAATACACGGTAGGTGCGAAATGGCTAATATGCGCTGCCGTCAATCAAGGTGTAGTGGGACTTATCACACGGTTGGTGTAAAATGGCTGGTATACTCTGCATATACTACAGGGGTGTTGTGACTGTTTCCAAATGGCCAAGAATCTTTTTTTTTCAAAATGGTTTTAAATTATTCTAAATAGTAATTAGATCATATCCAATAGAAAAATTTCAGCTCAATTAAATAATCTTAACATCAACACATAAACTCCGCTCGACTGATTTGAGATTAAAGTTAGATTAAACAGAGATTAACTAAACAAAAGCTCAATATCAGTCTAGGCGTAGTCGTCAGTCATGGTGCAGTGGAACTTATCATACCGCAGGTGTAAAATGGCTGAAAAACTTTGCCGTGGTGCAGTGAAACTTAATACACGGTTGGTGTGAAATTGCTAAAAAACGTTGATGATAACGATGATAACAATGAGACCAATGAGAACAATGAGAACAATGAGACCAATGAGAACAATGAGAACAATGAGACCAATGAGACCAATGAGAACAATGAGAACAATGAGAACAATGAAAAAGATGAGAACAATGAGAAAGATGAGAACAATGAGACCAATGAAAACAATGATAACGATGAGAACAATGAGAAAGATGAGAACAATGAGAAAGATGAGAACAATGAGACCAATGAAAACAATGAAAACGATGAGAACAATGAGAACAATGAGAAATATGAGAACAATGAGACCAATGAGACCAATGAGAAAGATGAGAACAATGAGACCAAAGAGAACGATGAGAAAGATGGGAACAATGAGACCAATGAAAACAATGAGACCAATGAGAACAATGAGAACAATGAGACTAATGAGAAAGATGAGACCAATGAGAAAGATGAGAACAATGAGAAATATGAGAACAATGAGACCAATGAGAACAATGAGAACAATGAGAAAGATGAGAACAATGAGAACGATGAGAACGATGAAAAAGATGAGAACAATGAGACCAATGAGAAAGATGAGAACAATGAGAAAGATGAGAACAATTAGACCAATGAGAACAATGAGAACAATGAGAAAGATGAGAACAATGAGAACGATGAAAAAGATGAGAACGATGAGAACGATGAGAGCGGTGAGAACAATGAGAACAATCAGAACAATCAGAACGATGAGAACGATGAGAACGATGAGAGTGGTGAGAACAATGAGAACGATGAGAACGATGAGAACGATTAGAGCGATGAGAGCGATGAGAGCGATGAGAACGATTAGAGCGATGAGAACGATGAGAACGATGGAATAATGAGAACGGTGAGAGTTCAAAATGAACCAGGAAGAGACAAAACTTGAAAAATGATACAGAAAGTGAAAATCGGTCAAGATAAAAGAAAAGAACACAAAGCACTATAGTATAACAATATGACCACTATCTCTGTATCTATAAATAATAAAATATTCATGTTTAGGTTCTCTCAGGGAATCTGATAAATGGTCAATTCATCTTCAACCATGTGTAAAACTGATCATTCTGTATAGTAATATAAATAATACCACAGCATTTTCTGGTTGCCTGGCATCTTCACAATTCCAAGTTATTACGAACTTCCTACTTATACCAATATTTCACTTTTCTTGTATCACGGAATGTAGCGTTGTGATTGGATTGTACGATATTATGTTTTCAAATAATTTCTGTCGAAGCCTCTGATTGGCTGTATTCACTGAGTACAATCAAATCAAATTAGCTACAAACTTCCATGGTAAGAAAGGTGTCTTTTGCAGTAAAGGTATAATACAAAGATTGTTATTAAAGAAAACAAGACAACAATGTTTGTACTTAAAGGGAGGTAATCAAAATAATTTTATTAGTTTATGACCATCCACACTTGTCATCTGTTTCCATGTTAAATCACGAATTCAACCTTCTATAACTTTTCCCACAAATCTCATTGAAAACATTCCAATATGTCACATGAATGCCTGGCTAATACACTTATATACAACCATTTACATAAAAAGTTTTAAAGGTTTGAGCATGTCTTTGATTTAAATCTTAATGTCGAATTCATGTATAGTGAATTCAAAATGCAGCAACTCTGTAGATGAGTAACAGTCGTAAGCCGCTCATGGAGTGTTTGACAGGATTCTATCAAGAAAATCTTAGAACATTTTTTTGGATTTGGTGTATTCTGACACATAAATTGTAGCAAAATCATACGTTAAAAATATAGTGGGGGTAAAATTGGGGGTGAAGCCATTTTTCTACGGGGGTTTATAGTAGTTATCTCCCTTGAAAGGGAAGACCCTTGCGATACACGATAACAGGGGATGTTTACATCCGGCAGTGGTCTACTTTACTTTACTAACTTTAAAGTTTAAAGATCGTCAAATCTTAAAATTCTTTTCTCTTATTCAACTTTTTATATTTCTAAAATAAATCACAATACATGTAACAGACATTAAAAAGCAGGGGCTCAACTAGTGGGTGTGGGTGTGGGTGTGGGTGTGGGCCCCTCCCCCGGGCAATTTTGTTCAGATATATGCTCTCATGTATTCTGAGACCCCTCTGTAAGTCAATTTAATGTTAATAGAAAATTTAATGAATTTCAGTCTGTAGTATATAATATTGCTATAGGTAGAGCTCCAGTATAAGGTGTAAGATTTGAACGACCAATAGAAGCGAGGAGCACATTAACAAAGTACAAGACAATATTATGGAATATAACACACCATAACATAAAACGCTATGTGCCTAATCTTTTTAAATAATTGTATTATATTCCATAATATTATCTTGTGTTTTGTTATTCAGTATAAGTTGTGAAGATTTTATAATGTTTGTTAACCATTTAGATATTTACTTTGGTACATTTTTTACAGTCTAATTAAAATTAGATCTAACTTTCTTTTCGTTTTTGTCTGTATTATTTTTTATTTTTAGTATAGGCACTTCACAGTAGACCTTACGACGGGAGTGTTGAACATTCATCAATTAGCCTTTTGACCTAGAAACGAACCAAAAATCTTCACAATGTCAGGCTATTACAAACTACATTTCCAAAATGTCAAGCTATTACAAACTTCATCTTCACAATGTCAAGCTATTACAAACTACATCTTCATAATGTCAAGCTATTACAAACTTCATCTTCACAATGTCAAGCTATTACAAACTTCATATTCACAATGTCAAGCTATTACAAACTACATCTTCACAATGTCAAGCTATCATAAACTTCATCTTCACAATGTCAAGCTATTACTAACTTCATCTTCACAATGTCAAGCTATTGCTAACTTCATCTTCACAATATCAAGCTATTACAAACTACATCTTCACAATGTCAAGCTTTTACAAACTACATCTTCACAATGTCAAGCTATTACAAACTACATCTTCATAATGTCAATCTATTACAAACTTCATCTTCACAATGTCAAATACAAGAAGAAAATGTAAAAGATTAAGACTATATCGTAGATAGTTACTTTAATTGAGACAGACAACCACAGTTCAGTACTTCAGAAATTAAATGTTGCAATAAAAACCTTAATTGTTCCCCAAACAAAGTTTATCTTCTGATATATTTCTATTGATATATCTCATTGTCAGGACTTCCTGTCTTTGTAGCCATGGAGACAGGGAATAATCCGGTTCTTGTGGATATTTAATACTTAAAATTCTTTAACGTGAGCTAAGCGGGCATGAAAGGCTTGGGGACTGCTGGGGCCTTATTCTGGGTGTTGCAATCATCTGAAATTGATCACTAAAATTGATTTTGAATTTTTTGTTAGAGGGAGATGGGAATAATTTTGTTCTATTATGTAGTCAGATTACGGTTTTTCTGAAAATCTGGCCCCCTGGTCATTATTATCAATGATATTATTCATTCAAATATTTGAATAGTGTTGTTAGTTATTACGTCACATTATACTTTAGCAGCGACGACGGGTGAGGCGCCAGGCAGTTTAGCGTACTGTTCTAGACACCTGGTATTACTTTTCATTATGAAATACTCACTCACTTTTGTTTGATATACTTCATCATATAAATTGCACATTTGCTGCTACCGATGTATTACGTCAAATTGTTATTTAAGATTTTTATGAGTTCCCTCCCTTCAAATTTGATAAATCACCATATCTTTGATTTTAACATCATATTTTGTGTACATTGTGCAGCAATTAGTATCTGTTGTGTTTGTTGGACAGGTATGGCGGGTGTGGTGCCAAACGGGACATTCTTACTCTTCCAGACACCTGATATCACTTTTCATTATGATATACTTACTCACTGACCACTGATTGTTGTTTTGGATTTCGGGTTTCGTTTTGTGGTTCGGATTTGGTTTAGTAATTGGTTTATTTGTTTTATTCGTCCTCATGAGATATAAGATAAAAGTACGTAGTTTACCATGTTCCGTACGGAGTGAGGAGGAGGGCATGATTCTACCCTGCCCGGATATACACCCCCTCCCACTTAAAATCTTTTATCATGTTACATATTAAAAGAATTGCCCGTATCATTGTGCACCATTTCTCGACAGTGAATTTTTATACAGACAGCTAGTTCTTGGGACACTATAGCTGTGTAACGAACGTAATCCATTATTGTGTTCCGGTTCCATTGAAACGGAAATTCCCGGGATAGCACATTATTGTGTCAGATCCAATAAGATTTTGTAAGGTAAGATGATTGATTACTGTTTAATTGAATGACAAATTATAATGATATCAGAATTTGAAGGCAGAAAAACAAACGATCAATTGATATAAGTTGCTATGATAATATTTCTTATAATGTATTGCTTTGTTTTCGAAATGACTATTTTTTTTTTGCTACTTCTGGTCACGCTCCCCAGCCAAAACTGCACATACCACAGATTATCTGACATCCTTATCTCTTATACTTAACGTGTCGCTATTGTTTAAATGTAAAATGACGCATCTTCGCCCAACCGGAAATGACGTAGGACTTTAACCGTTCATTACGTCTTTCCAATACCTGCTATTATTCTGAATCTATTTTGAACATAATTTTTGTTTTGTTCATTACTTTGAACTAATGTCTAAAAGATAGCAATTTAAGAAATTTAAAATTTTGACTTTTGTCGCTGACTTTTGGAGATTTTATTTAAAGCATTTTTTAAACTTCCACAATTTTATTTCAATCGGTCTAAAAATTTATTAGTAGATAAGCATTTTGATTCCTGACAAAAATCTATTTTCAAAATTTCGATATCACTTCCGGTTTTGACGTCATTCGCCTCTAAACTTGAAATTTCAACTTCTGGAATTTTGTAGGTATTTGAAAAATTATTTTTGAAATTAGTTTGGAATGACGAAATTTGACCCGGATGTATTGTGTAAGACGCCATCTTGATATGACTTATTTTTATAAAACTCAAAATGGGGCCTCAGGGTAAAATTGGATGTGCGTAAATTTGATGTTTATGTAAACTACAATCGATTGCTAACAAAACATGGGAAGCCGATTTTTGAATTTTGGCTTTGTATTTTTTTTATTTCCGGATTTATGTTTTCAGTAATTGTCAAAACTATTAAGGCTCACATCTAGT